ACACAAGACACTATAATTATCAAACGAATTAATAGACATCATATATATATATATAAATACATGCATAATACAACATATTGGAAGATTTCAGAGTTAAATAGGAAAAAATGAGCTATGACAGATTAATTATTTTTAAATAAAAAATAAAACTGTATAAATGCTGAGTGGAAGTCACATTCAGCAGTACCAATAAGTTATAACTTTGAAGCTATATAAACAAACAATATTGTAAACTCAACTGATACTCATGTAATCTTACTAATATTATAGATATGAAAGTTTCCGAATGTGGATGTATGTTTACTTGGCTCGAAAACACTCCGAAATGACAGTAGATTTGACATAAGAGTCTGTAATAAACCTACATGAGTAATAATTTGATTTTGATTGTGAGATTAAATAATAATTATTATAAATCGTTATTAGCATATAATGAAATTTTTTGGCACTATGCATTCATATCACGGCTTCTTTACCATGAATTACAATAGGAAACCTATTATATGTGCATATTACCGCAAATGGCAAGATGTCTGATGTCCTACATTGCTGTAATCCAGATAAAATGGAAGGAAAGTTATTGATGTACGACAGAATAGATATTTTTTTGAAGACCCAATAATAAAATGTAAATAAAAATAATCTTTATTCAAATAAACTTTGTGTAAGCACTTGATTATGTTTTTTTTATTCTACAACTAATTCGGAACGCAAACTTATCACAAGAAGAATAAGCAACAAATTGGCCTGCTGCTCTTTTAAAGAGGCATGTGGCAACGAACATAGAAACACTCATTATTTGCGCCATCAGATAAAATTGTCAGTAACTATTTTTTATACAAAAACATTATTATACCTAATCTATAAACTCTTCAATTTTGTAATAAGCTTTTATATAAAGAAAGTGTAAAGAAAAGTTAAGTGTAAAAAAAAAGAAAGTGAAAGTGTGTGTTTATACGATATTTTAATATTTTTTCGAACAGATTGTTTTTTCTTTTTAATCTTTTTTCTGGCAATTTGCAACCCTACGTAATTACCGTAAAACGAATTACTTACTTAAGTTAAATGGCATTTATGTAAAACTAGTTTGTTATTATTGCGTCAGTAGTTTAATCGCTAACTTTTTTGATATTGTCAATTGACATTTTGCAATTGCAAATTGTATTGTTAAAAATAGTATTTCATTCACTTTTATTTTAATAAATTAAATTAAGAACAATGCTGCCAAGTCATAAGATTTCTATGTAACACTCTATTGTAGGTATCTATTTTAATGACATTTTTTGTCAATATGTTTTGGGTGTTAGTTGCTCAATGACATTAAAAGTTCTGAGTAAAACGCAGATAGTCATTATTCTAGGCCATACATTAAACAGTTTTATTCTAATTTATGCAGACACATGCGCGGTATATAACGAATATATAATTTATATAACAATGTCTCCGACCCCTCTCCATACAAAACCTGCTACCATGAATATTTTCTACAACAACTGATTAAACTTGACGAAATTTTGTCCATAGGATATCAATTAATAGCAACTAATATCAACATGTTACACAAGTCAGATTTTCTTAAATTTGTTCTAGAATCCTTTTTACACAAAAAAAGATTTTCACTTTTTTTTTTATTTTTATGATGTCATGGATTGGTTTTGAGAATGAGATAAATAATTTTTATTTTTATGATGTCATGGATTGGTTTTGAGAATGAGATAAATAAAGATCAAATTATTTATCTCATTCTCAAAACCAATTCAAGATATCATAAAAATTAAAAAAAAAGTGTAAAACATTGGAATTATAATTAAATTTCAATAACGATAAACATATCATATTTACTGTAATAATAGAGTAAGTCAAGTAGAGCGGAACATAAATATTTATGGCAAAATTTCGTTTGAAAATTTACCGTGAATATTTACGCTATCGCGGTTAGTTGAAGGAAGACGCAAGGACTCTGAATAGAGACATTACGAGTGCATAATACCTACATCGTTATTTTATTGCGTGGACATACTCCCCGTATTTATTTTCGAAAAATATATCCCAATTATTGTCACGAAATTTTGCTTACATGACATACTTATTTAATAAAAAAAGGCTGCTATAAAATCTTTTAAAATATAATCTTTAATCTAGTCGTATGGACGAATCCGCATATATATCTAGTCAATGAACATTAAATGAACACGCGACGACACGTTTCTGGAACGCAAATGAGAACATATTAACCATTCAGTATGTATTTTTGTCAACACAATTTGTTCCCACGAGAGTTCATAACAAGAGGAAATTAACGCCGCAGGTTTCGGCAAACACGACGATGTCTTGTTTAAATCATAATTGATTCTGTGGGAAGACATATTGATATTTTTATGTTTTACTGACACAGAATGCTGTTTTATGCTACTTTATAATTGTAAATAAGCTGACAGCCCAATATGTGAGGGGAGGGGGGGCACAAGGAAGCGGCCGTTCTCGTAATCCTGGAGTGCAAAACGACTCACAAAACACCTATTAGACCTAACTAGGCAAAACCTTAAAATAATGATAGAAACAATAACGGGCCACTGTCCCTTAAACAAACACTTGTACACAATAGGTGCTACTTCGGAACGGTGAGGTCGCTCCGTGAAACCTGTGAAGAAACCAGGAGGTTTCTGGGCTTCTGGCTAGCTTGGCTGGCTACTTTAGTAGTGTCTCAACGGCCCAAATGAGAGGCTAATTGCAGAGAATAGAGTCCATATTACATTATATAGGGGGGAAGGAGATTGCTAGTGATGTGGACCAATAACCCCATTGCTAACAGTATATCAGATTGACCTCCACGCAGTTTCCCCTGGAAACTATCGTAGATAGACAGACACGTTTTAGTGTTTATAATATTGATAAGTTTTAATAAGTGTAACTCAACAATTGTGGGGGAATGGGATTGTCAGTAATGTGGATTATAAGCACATTCAAATGAAATTCAAAAATCATTTATTCATGTAGGACATTTTAGCCGCTTATGAACGTCAAATATTTTATATTATATTTTTTCCCTATCGTCCAGTTCAGCATATAAATCTAATTGAGAAGAACTGACAAGAAACTTAATAGAATTACTTTTTTTTAAAGCCATTTTATTTAAAATATATCTAAAGTTAAATTTTCATTTAAAATATATCTATTGCCATGTACACTCAAGTAATTGTTTAGTGAGTAATATTGTAGCAATGTACCATGTCTGTTTGACCAGTGTTGTGGAAACCATCATGACAAACTCATGTTAAATTTACCACGATGGACTGACCTTTTTTTTTTTTTATAACACACGGGACAAACGAGCATGCGGCTCACCTGATGGTAAGTGATTACCGCCGCCCATGACACCCGCAATACCATGGGAATTGCAAGTACGTTGTCGGCCTTTTAAAAAGGAATAAGCTCTTTTCTTGAAGGTTTCAATATCGTATCGGTTCGGAAATACCATTGCTGGAAGGTGATTCCACAATGTGGTTGAAACTGATCTCATGCTTATCTTATCATCTTTAGCACCGCTAGCGTATACCGTTAGCGCAGGCGGGTGCACCATTCCGTTAGCACTCATCAGAACTCAAAAATTGTATACAAAAAATAAATAAAGTCTTAAAAAGGGGAAAGTCCAGTGTATAACGTAAGCAACCGAGTTTTCAGAACACCCGGAACTTTAAAAATGAATATTTGATAAACTAATCTAAATATATATAACTCAAAGGTGACTGACGTAGTGATCTATCAACGCACAGCCCAAATCACTGGACGGATCGGGCTGAAATTTGGCATGCAGGTAGATATTATGACGTAGGCATCCGCTAAGAAAAGATTTTGATTAATTCTACCCCCAAGGGGACGAAAGTTTGTATGAAACTTTGTCAATTTTAAACTTTCCATGCATAAAGCTACTGTGACGTAGGCATCCCCTAAGAAAGGATTTTGATAAATTCCACCCCTAAGGGCATAAATTAACACGAGCGAAGCCGCGGGCAAAAGCTAGTATTTCCATAAATTCAAATGCACTCATATATGACGTATACTGCCTTCAACTTGAACCCGGTTTTGGGTAAAACCAAAGGTCTTCGGGGTTTTTACCTGACCGTTAGTATGTTTATCACCTTAGACGATAACTTTCTCTCTATATGTTAATATAAAGTATCTGTGACTTAGTTGTCTTGATGTTTTGTCACATATTTATTGAATTTACAAATATTTCTAAAATGTCTTCATGTTTTGTAACCATTCTGGTTTAATTCATAAACGTTTCCGAAGATATACTCTCGATACTTGTAACTGGGTGAAAGAGTAATATATTAATAAATGACTAGCTGTTATAGGCGTCTTCGCCCGCGTGGAACATAAATTTTATTCAAATGAATAAAATTTCTAAACTAAACTTTACGCCTTAACTTAACATTAGCTATCTGCGTCAAAATAGGTCAAGCCGTTTCAGAGATTAGCAAGAACAAACAGATATTATAAATAAAAAAATAAAATTATTTTTTTGATGTAAGTACCGTAGTAGATAAGTATATACTTCTAAATACATTTAGTGAAAAGCACAAAATCACATCGACTAACGATGTGATTTTGTGCTTAATATATGTGTAGTTAATATATGTAGATAATTGTTTGATGTGATAGCATTTTTAATGGTATTTTCCTATTTTTTTACCTGAGGTTTATTTTAAATATAAATAATTTACATTTCATTATTATGAATCGACAGATTTAAGAATAACATTCGAAAGTTCGTTAGTTTCATGACGATTTAGTCGATTTATTACTTAATATGAGTGTGTAACTTAGGTTTACTTATTTTGCAATAACGAGTACTTAATTTTTATAATAGAACCCGCAACCATCGGAAATAAAGTGATGTGCCAGACCACCTACGACGTTTCTTTCTAATATATCAGTTAAAATATCAGCTTCAACCCAAATCAGATAAACAATTATATAAATAATTAAATACTTACATAATATAAGACATTTATAAATATCACAATCCATAGAGAACAGCTAATAAATATATAAACGCGTTTATAATTTCACTGAACAATTAATCATTTTAAATTTAGAATGTGCACAAAAGAAAGTAGTGATGTACTCGTCTATTCTTAATGTTATCGAAACGAAGGTCACCGCACTTGTGATGCGCACACGCACATAACGATCACTGGATGCTGCGTCGGGATACTCATTAATTTATCTCTTCGGTTGCCTCTAGGGATGCGTCGAAATAATTTGCGAAGAGATTCTCACGAAATCGATTTGCGAACTGGTGAAATTACCGTCAATATAAATTGCGCAATACTGTCCGGCCGGTATCTGACGGACGAGAGGTATATTTTCGTGTAGTAATTTTGGCAACTCTTTGATAAAGTTATAGAAATATATCGAAGAAAATAAAATAATTTCTAAATATACTACGTGTAATAATTGGTTTTAATACAATAAATTTAAAATTAGCATTTTTTTATTTCCAAATATATAGGACTAATGTTACTTTAGTACAGCATATTTTGAATTTCCTGAACTTAATTATTATGTCTTTTAAATTTTATTTCGACTTTAAATTCTTAATAGTAATTCTAAGCATAGAGATAGATGTTTATACGATAATAATAATATCGATAAAATAAAAAAATATGTCAGCGATTTTTACTACGGCAACAGAAGTCAAAACAATACTTTAAGTACAGATAAAATAATATTATATACTTTAAGTTTTTCAACCTTTGACTATTTGGCCACGCACTAACATAAATAACAGTAACGGAAAAACTGCAGCCCGAATTGAATGCATTTTCTCTGATAGAGCAAACTTAAAATATAGGCTTCATGTTACCGCAGGAAAATATCGTATTACGTGCGAAGCAAGCATATTGAAAAATTGAACTTTCCAACAGCTGACGGGACTTGTCGGGTATCGAGTTATACTTATAAAACAAAGTTTCTCTTCGCGTCTAGCTGTTTCTCCTAAAATTCATTTATATATTACGAAATTTATGTATATAAATGTTATATATTATGAATCTGGAGAAATTCACAACTGTCCGTTAGAGATATATGAATGAATCAATGAAACTCTTTGTCCTCTCACAGAAAATACAGTTCCATACACAATTATGTCTTCTTCTTCTTTGTCGGTTCCTCAAGACTGAGCAATAATACTCTCCAAGCATTTCTATCTTGTGCTAAATGGACCGCCGATTGTATATTTTGTTTGATTGCTTCTCGTACAAGATCAGTCCAACGTGCAGGTGCCCTACCTCTGCCCCTTCTACCATCCACGTGGCCTAACATTATATTTTTTCCAAATTATCTGGTTTTCGGCGGGCCACGTGGCCGAAAAAAGTTAGCAGACGCTGGAAGCACATAGTAGAGAGACGGGTTCTGATACCCAGTTGTTTTATTATAAATTAGGTATGTATAAAACGATAAAAAATACAATAATAAACAAGACAAAGAGGTAACAATGGGCGGCCTTACCGCTAAAAAGCAATCTTTTCCTAAACAAACAAATATATACCTAAGTATATATTTGTAAAATGTGAGTAATTGTATCATTCATTAATAATTTTTAGAGCTGTACCTTTAACCATTTCTACTTTATCTTACTCTCGACTTAATTCGACATTTATACAATAAAACTGTAAAGGTCGAATTTTTGTACATAGGAAAAAAACGCCAAAAACCGAGTCGGAGGGATATTAGAAGTGAAATAGATGCGTCATCATTTAGATTTTTTTTTCAAATTTATCTATTTATTTGTATTCTCTGTCTATTTGTACTGGCTAATATTATATAAATTATGAAAAAATGGAATTTTACATCAATTATAATATGTCGATAATATTGATTGCAATCAAAGGACATCCCTAAAACATGCGTACGTGCGATATCACACGTAAGAATATGCATTGTATTCCCGATAATATTCATTATTCCTGTTCTAGATCTAGAGAATACTTATTATATACTAACGACTCGTCCCGGAGTCGCACGGATGCATTACAAATCTTTGAATTTCTCGGCTTGTTCTATACTATAGGTAAAACGTATGTATGAGTATAAATTCTTCTTGAATCACTCTATCTATTGCTGAAAACTGCACTAAAATCCGTAGCGTAATTTAGAAGATATAAGCGAACAGACAGGAGTTGTAAAGAAGAGAGCTATGTAAAGAAGAATAAACGATTTTTTTAAATATGTTATCATGGAATTCAATTACCCATTAACGTTATACGACGACACCAGTGGAGGATGATACAATATGGACGAAGTTAAGTCAGTTAGCAATGATGTTCCAAGGCATTACTAGTATTAAAGAAATAGAAATAGAAATAATCTTTATTCAAATAAACTTAATATAAGCACTTTGAATAGTCAAGTTTTTTATTCTACCGCTTATTCGAAATGCAGATTCATCACAAGAAGAATAAGCAAGAAACTTGTGTGTTGCTCTTTTAAATAAATATTAATTTACTTATATTTAATTAACAACAAGGATTAGGCATGCGACAATCAATATAGAAACCGCTACGCACTTAATCCCTGCTCTAAATCTAGGATAAAGCATTTTCCATTTCCCATTCTAACAACCCCTCCAGAGAGAGGTGTGGTTAGTAATGGAAGGGTGAATATGGGATAGTGCAGCTAACTATACTAAGTGTGTGTTGGTAGAGGCACCAGTGGAAGATAGGAGAATGAGGATGAAATCAGATCAGTTAGCCCCATTGTGGCAAATTCGCTAGAAATATATCATGATGGTTTCCACAAGGGATCGGTTGGAGGTCGACCTGAAGGGTATATTAATATAACTAGAGTGACTTACCAAATATTGTAACACGACACAAACACTTTAACACTATTATTTACAATATATAGAATACGTATATGACACACACTTTTTCAGTTTTTTTGAGAGTCACAATAAATAAGGAGGGTAGCCGTTACTTTACACTAGTGGTATTCAACTCCGTGAAAGATAATTGAAAATCAGTATTTTAATCATAACATGTAGAGCTTCTGTGGCATACATTTTTAATTTAAGAATTCTCGATATAATGGTACTAGGACAGCTTTACCATAACAAAAAATGTAACTTTATAACAGAAATGTAAACCTTAAATATAAGTTATTAAGGTTAAAATTCATTGAAATTGTGACTAATACAACAACGCATGCAACGTCATTAATGAGAAATGTAAGATTCGGTCATTCTGGTTATTATGATGGAACAAAAAATCGTCAAGTGTGATCGGACTGATAAACTAAATTGTTCTGTACGGAAATCGTATAGTACACTAACTTAAATATTCGAAAGTATAGTATGAACTATTTTATATATACTTTGGAATTAATACACACATACAAGGTACGTATGGTGCATATTGGGTACACTGTCTCGACTGTGTCTGTCACTGTGTCGCGTTAGATTACATTGACTGTTTTTTTATATGCATAAAATATAATTATTTGTGAAATGGATGTATTTTGCTTTGTTTTACTTTTTTTTTTCTTTATTTACAAAGCCTAATTAGGCGCTAAACAATTATGCAAAAGCGCCAAAGTTTCTGCAAATATCATAAGAGATAAAAGAAACGAGATCTGTTAGAATGGCAGATAAAAACTTGTAGCCGTTGGCCTATGCACTTTCATTCATTTTAAAACTAATTTAGATTTATCGTTAAATGTTATTATAGTCTTGTCAGTCATTTAACATTTAGGATAATAATAATATTATTATCCCAAGCTATGCAGTGTTATAGATACTAACCTATTGATATTTAATAATTGACTTTTTTAATAAAACATCCAAACTTTTTATCATCCTTTCACGTTTCTAATAGAAATAGAAATAGAAATAATCTTTATTCAAATAAACTCATTACAAGCACTTTTGATTAGTCATATTTTGATTCTACCACTCATTCGGAATGTAGATTCATTCATTTTTAATAGATGTTTTTTTATATAAATAATTACAGTATAACAAGTAAGAGGCATGCGATAATCAACATAGCACTCGCGATAATATTATTAGTAAAATAGAACTCATTAAATGGATTCCTACTATGTGTAACACATGATATATTGGTACAATACAGGCGTTAACGATTTATATAAACTAACTCATTTCCTAATTAATAAATTACATGACTTGAAAAATTACCTTGTGTAGTCTGCTTTATCAACTGTCATCTTGTTGTACATAAATTGTAGTATTATCTCATCTTTTGTTTTAGCATCTATTAGATATACCTAGTCTATCTATTAATTAAGTATACTCTAAACAAATTACCGTATAGTGACGAAGTAAGAACATTGTGACACCTTTCCTTTTCGTCACTACTATGAATAATGATTGGTTAAGCCTTTAAGGTTTCAAAGCGTTACAAACAAACTTAATATCATATTCATTATATTAATTACTAGCTACTCTCCATAGTTTAGCACGCGTGTATGTATTATACATATAAAACTTCCTCTTGAAGTACTTTATCTATTGTTAAAAACTGAATTAAAATCTGTTACGTAATTTAAATGATCTAAGCGAATAAACAAAGGAAGCGACTTTATTTTATACTATGTAATAGTATAAAGAATAAGCATGTAATCAGGACAGACTATCGTGACGAACTCCTCAGTAATTAACAATGACGATTCGGGGGCCGCGTGGAGGTCGACCCGACATCTACACTGTTACTAGTGTAGGTATTTATTAATCCCCGTTACTGACAAATCCCTATGCCCTTTTTGTTATTTGTATAAATAAAATATATAACCATCTTATTCAACAATGATTTAGCTTTCAAATGCATCGTTTTTGTTGTTTTTCTAATTTTCATACAAATGGATAAGGGAAAGAGAAAGGATATCAGTAAAATTGAAAAATAGATATAAATTGAAATGAATTTGAAATATCAAATAATTTGGGAACTTTTTGGTCCATAAATTTACAAATATAAAATTGAAAATGTTCACAGATTTTTCAGTTGTTTCATTCTTTACGCTACTTTAGCTTTATTTATTTTTATAGTCCATGATCATTTATTCTTGAGAAGATTTCTCGTTTCAATGCGAAACTGGGGTGGGAATCTTGTTTATAATATGCACAATTGTGTGATTTGACTATACCATACATACGGATCTCTA